TTTTTTTTTTTTTTTTAATAAGAGAGATTCTTTAACGAGAGATTTTTGCTATAGGGCACGTGTGCTTGCCAGAGAGACAGACAGAAAGCAAGAAATCACCCCCCTGGGGGACAGAGATTTTGCAACCCCTTCTCCTCCATTCTCTTCTTGGAATTTTGGGTACACATGCATATGCCCAAACTCACCCAACGTGAGTTTCAAGCTGCGATGTTCAAGACTTGAACTGTAGTCAGCCACATGCGAGTCCAGCACCTTAACTGCTATGCCACCTGCTCAGCTCCAATTTTTTTCCTTAAAGTTTATGAGAGGATGTGTATATTCATCAGAGAAAGACAGACAGATAGACAGAGAGAGGGGGGAAAGAGAGAAAGTACCCTCATGGAGTATGGTCACACTGCAATCCCTTCTCCTCCAGCTCCCCAGCCTGTCAAGATTTGGGGCATGCATGCACACATGGCTAGCATGTTTTTCAGGCTGCCACGTCAGTACTTGAACTGCTCACAGTTAGTCATGTGGGATCCAGCTCCTTAACCACCAGGCCATGGGCTGGCCCAGTCCAAACTCTCACACAGCAAGGAGAAGCGTTTTCTAGATTTTAGAAGTTTATGGAGCAAAATGATTTAAAAAAAAAAAAATTAAGGACACCGGGGCCAGCAGATGGTATAGTGTTTACGTCACTGGATTCCCACATGGCCGACAGTGATTCGAGTCCTGGACCCCATGGCTTGAAACTCACACTGGGCACATATGTGTGCACGTCCAAGATCCTAAGAGAAAAATGGAGGAAAAGGGATTGTGGTGTGGCCATCCCCCCGGGGGGTGATTTCTCACTTTCCCTTTCACTGTCTCTGTCTCTCTCCAGCAAGCACATGTGCCCTAAGGCAGAAAAACCTCTAAAAACAAAACAAAACAATTAAGGACACTAAAAGACACCAGGGGTGTCAGCACCATCTGGGAACCAGAGGTACAAATTCACAGGCTGTCTCGGCTGGCTTCCCACAACAGGCCCTACCCCAGGTCAAATGAAGCAAACCTTCTGCAAGTAAGCCAGCAACCCAGCACTCCAACAAGCTCCAGGCAATTCAGACAGCCCAAACTGGAGAACCACCACGTAGTTTTCCCTTTCTGGATGGATTGCACAGGTCTTATCCGGACAATCTCCAGCACCAGGATCTGCTCACCTCCCAAAGACACTTGTTTGCATGTGGATCGCTTTAGGAGGTGGGAAACTCCTGGTCTAGCCTCCTCTCCCCTAGTTCTGCCCTTCTGAGCACGTAGAATGCATCTTCTCTGCCTCCACTGCTGACAACACCAGCTACATTTGAAGGTGACTGCTATGCCTCCCTTCTCCAAGTTAGCATAGCCATGCTCTTCACTGTCCTCATCTGATCTCTAGACCCCTCGACTGCCTGGTCTAGACACTCCTGTACTGTTATCATTCATGACTAGCACTTACAGAACACTCATTACCGTGGGCCACACATGGCCCGGGAATGCTACATCTCTTTTTGTTTTAATTGCCTGAGGGCACATGTGCTTGTCAAAAAGAGACAGAGACAGAGTGAGGGAGAATGTGCCCCTCAGGGAACATGGTCATGCTATAATCCCTTCTCCTCTATTTCGCCATCCTGTTGGGATTTTGAGTGTGCACATTTGCTTGGTGTGTTTTTCAAGCCATTGGGACCTGGATTCAAACCACGGTCAGATATGTGCGATCCGGTTTTCTTCTTTTTTTAAAAAATTACTTATTTAATTTTATTTATTTATTGTTATTCTTCAATTTGATGAGAAAGAGACAGAGAGAGAGAGAGAGAAAGGGAAAATGAGAAAACAAGCCATCAGGCCGGGGACTCAAACCACAGGCAACCATGTGTGAGTCTAGCACCCAGCTACCATGCCACCTGGTGGCCCTGTGATCTGGTTTTATTAACCACCAGTTTATAAAGCTGGCCCATGTATAGTTTCACTGTAAGTTTTTGCAACAACCCTGGGAAGTAGGTCTGCTATCTCTGTTTGTTTCTTTTTTAAGAGATAATTTTGTTATAGGGCACTTGCATTCACCAAAGTGACTGAGACAGAAAGTTAGAAATCACCCCTGGGAGTATGGCCATATTGCAATCCCTTCTCCTCCATTCTCCTCTCAGGATCTTGGGCACGCACACACACACACATGCACCTAGCATGAGTTTTAAGCCACTGGGTCCAGGACTGGAACCACGGTCCTCAACTGTGGGAGTCCAGCGATGTAACCACTATGCCATTTGCTGGCCCTTTGTTATCTCTACTTTACAGAAAGAAAACAAGCTCAGGGAAGCCAGACAACTTCCCCAACATGACTTAACTTGTAATGAACTGAGCCACGATGCCACATGCAGGTCTGCGACACTCAGAGCTCACGTTACTTCTACACCAGGCTGCTCTGAAATTTCTATCAAAATAGTGTTCGTTTAGGGAGCCTGAGCCAGGAGGAGGTGACCACAAGGTTGAGTGTGTAGTGTAGTGGACACAACATGGGCTTAGAGTCAAACAAACCTGGGTCGAGTTCTGTCTTCTGTAATTACTAGTTCTAGGACTTCAAGTGTGTTTCTCTTCTCCCTGAGCCTTAATCTCCTCATCTGTATGATGGGAATGATACTAGCATCCAGCTCCTAAGGCTGATGTGAGTAGACAATGACTTACTGCTTATAGAGCACTTAGCAAAGTACCTGGGCTGCAGCACACACTCAACACATACCTCTGTTGTTATTACTGAATATATGTACTCAGCAATGACGTAATTATAACATGGTTGGCTTATAGCAGGACACACATCCATTACAGCAATATGAACCATTGTCTCCTTTCTACCCCAATGAACACCCACCTGTTTCCAGCCCTGGACTATTTCAGCAACCTCCTGCTGACTCCCTGTCTCCAAATTTTCTCTTTGCAAGGCAACCTACATACGCTGACGGGTTCATCTTCCTAAAACCCAGCTCTGATTATGTACTGAAACCCATCTTTGAATTAAGCCCCGGTGTCTCTTCTTGGCTTTCAAGAGTTTGTATATAATAGGGCCCCAGATTTTGACTCACACTACTGCCCTATGGGGTTTCTTCACACACAGTTTCACCTGCATTCTCTCCTCTAGCCAACCATCTCCACTCCCACCCACACTGGCTTTCTGTCAAAACATTTTCACAGATCTAGTACTCTCTCTCGTGAAACTTTCCCTCCACCCCCCAAAGAGATGGGAGTAACCTCTTCGTTTGACTTCATTTGGCTTTTATTTCATGACCTGTAATGGTGTTATAAAAAGAGCTTCGATCTTGCCACCAGATAGACCTGGCTTCAAACTCTGAGTCTTCCTCTTCCTAGTGTATCATGTCCTTGAAATTAAATTTCCTCACCTCTGCACTGGGGGGTAATAGAAACTCCTTCATGTTGTTACCTATGATCCAAGTCTGGCTGCTTCTACTCGTGGTTGATGAAGTGAAAGGCAGAGGCTGGAGAAGCAGAAAGGATTTTTCTGCAACCAGGTTACACGGAGAGAGGCAGCGACCACCACCAGACCATCTTGAAAAGCTCAGCATGTGCTCAGCATTTGTAGATGCAAATACAGATTCTTCCTCAGTTAAGTCAATCGAAGTCAATTGCTTTATCCTGATTCCTGTTTCATTTTTTTAAAATACTCTTTCCTGATTTTTCATCTGACCATTCCTCAGAATAGACCACCCGTGACTCAGCACTCAGCCAGCTCATTCTCAGCAGAGGCCTCTCTCAATTTCAGAATGGTGGTAGCCCTGCTAAACCTTGAGCTGGCCTGCTTCAATATGGCGGCTGTGAAAACTAAACAAGGAATGTAAGGCCCTATCTCAAAGCCACTTTTCCAGTCTGATCTCCTCCTCTCCCCTGCATAAGAACATGATTTATCTGCCATATTTATTGAGAGCGAGGACTTCCTCTTAATCATCTCTGTATCTCTCATAGTGCTTAGAATAATACTGTACACACGGATGCTCAGCAAACGCACATTGAATGGGATCAGCTGCCACTAACTAGCTAAATGTCGCAGTTTACTAATCTCTGTTAGCTTGTTTTCTTGTCCTTTCATATGAGAGATTTTTGTTATAGGGTGTGTGTACTCACTGGAGAGACCAAGAGAGACAGACAGAAAGCAAGAAATCACTCCCCCCCCCCCCCAGGGGGAAAAAGCCAGCCCCCAACCCCTCC